ATATATATATATATATATATATATATATTATGAATATCAAGAAAAAAAATTAGAAGCAAAATTATTCCGTGCTCGAAAATTATGAGCTTTTAAGTACAACTTGGAGCTTTGGTTAAACTGTAATCGTTTTTTTGGTTGATGTGGTTAATTTTCATTATCTTTGTTCATTTACAGTTTGAAACCGTAACTGTAAATATAATAGCATTTTTAGCGCCACAGAATAAATAATGATACAATTGCCCAAGTTCTATAATTGTTAAACGGAGAGTTTAAAATTTTCAAAATTAGTCGAATATGAAAGGCTTTACAAAATCATTGCAACGTATCTTGGTAAATAACACTAAAAATGGTACACTACTTGTTTGTTTCGTACCAAAAACAAGTAAAAATATAAAAGCGTGAACGTTTCGTTACGTTTTGGGGATGTGAGATGAAGCTTTTATCGAGATCAATTTTATTTTGTAATAAACACTCACTAAAAATTCAATTGAACATTTACTAAATTAGTTCAACTTCATGTGAAGTCTTTCAATTACGGAATCTTGTGGTTGTAAGACTGTGGATGCCATTTTCTAATAGATGTAATAATGATGATTATTATTTGTCCATTGCAGGTCCAAGTTCTGCGACAACTACGTATTCAATGAGATTCTTGACATACACAGTGCTGATAGCCGGATATGTTGTTTCATTATTTTATGCAGCCTTACTGGTTTCCCTTCAATCAATTAGCCTGAAACCTCCCGCATTTAGCAACCTATTGGAACTAAGAAAAGTTGGAACGCATCGTCTTTGTATATCGAATCAATCGTGGGCCTACGACATGTTCCTCAAGAATGACCCGGTTTGTTATATTAATTACGACATATTTTAATATGTTTAATCATTTGCTTTCATGTTTATTTCATTAAAGCCCTGTTCACACGACGCTTGTTAACTTTCCGTAGAGTAGTTATAGTAATGGGCCGCAAAACGAAAATGAAAATTTTTGCATTTCTCCACATTTTGAGGGTTTCTGAACATTTTGGCAAACCTCAGAAAAAATGGATGTGTGTGTGTTTTGTGTGTCCGCATTTTTCCATTCACGTTTTCGGGCGCACGGATCAGCCGATTTGAATGGTTTAAAAAACATTCGATTCCTGATAAGAAGATGTGCTGATTAGTTTTTGGCAAAGGCAGGTCCAGCCGTTACGGAAATAAAGAGCAAAGAGTGCAGAAAATAGAAATCGAGTTTTTGAGAGAACGAAGCATCCGATGTGAATGATCTAAAAAACATTCAATTTGTAATGATTGTGGGGTAAGTGGTGATTAGTTTTTGGCAAAAGAAAATATACAAAAATTGGCATTTTTTGAGAGAAATAAGCAAGTGAGATTTTAATATTAGAATACGCGCTATTTTTGTAGATGGATCCTACATAGACCTAAGAATAAAGTCCGAATCACACGACATTTGTTTTCGGGGCTAGCTACGTTTTGGCTTGCTAGGTTATTTGTTATTATAAATCACATGACTAAATACTGCCTCCCTATTGGTTTAAACGAACAAATTCATCTACAAAAATAGGACATGTTCTAACTTTTCCATCAAGACATTTAGCCGACTTGACAACATCCACCAGACCAAAAAAGCAACGAAACAAGCCTGGTTTGAATTGGAATTTGAACGTGCGCTATTTTTGTCGTTCGAATCAATAGGGAAGCAGTATTTGGTTTTTTGCATGGTGTGAATAAAACGGCTTGAAAAACTATTATGAAATCTAGCGCCGCCGACGTCCGCGACAAAATTAAGCATGCTATCTAGCCCAGAAAACAAGCGTAGTATAAATATATGAATTGTTGATATTATAATATTATACATACTCAAAATTTTATGAGCTACTGAAGTCCAGCCTATCAATTTTCAATAACTTGCCGTCGAAAATGTTTGTGTTTTGACTCAAAATTCCAAATGTGTTTTCCGAACATTTTCATTAATTTACTCAATTTTAAATAGGATAACAGAGCAATTAAGAAATAGCTAGTGGTGCACGAGATCGTGGCCCAAGGCAAATAGCTGGAACTTTCCCTACTGCAATTTCATAATTTTAGAAGCTCAGAAAAGTAAAATTAGTTTTTTTTAGAAAATATTCACAATTTTTGAAAATTTTGAAAACATTTCAAAGATTTGAATATTGAAAAAATAGTTTTTTTAATTCTTATATTTTTTTTTAATTTTTACTGTTTTTTTTGAAAATCTTGAAAGTGTTTTATACCCATTCATATCGGTTGGTTCAAAATATCTGATTTTCGACCGCCAAATGACATTTTTTACGATTTTTTTCTGGGTCTACTAAATTTCTGGACCAGCCTTTGCAGCAACTCAATCGATTCTTTATTACGCCAATACAAGAAAACTTTTTTTGAATAATTCAAATCGGATACTCCGATCTCTCAAAACTTAAATATCATTTTCTGCACTCTTTGCTCCGTATCTTCGAAACGGTCAAATCAACTTTTGCTTCAATAGGAATTAATTGCCCTTTGAATAATTCAAATCGGTTGAGCGGTGCTCCTGAAAACGTCGACAAAAAATTGTATCCATACATACATGCATTCACGCACATTCATATTTTTTAAGGTATGCCAAAATGTTCAGAAACCTCTGATACATTTCGTATAACTCTGATATCTGTAAAGTAATGCAAAATTTTCATTTTCAATTTTTGGTCAACTATTATAACTTACCCCACGGAAAGTTAAAAAATCAATCAGAATAGTATTATTCTATAAATTATCAGTTGTGAAAACAATAAAAACAAATATAAAATAAAATGTTAATTATAAAATAACAGGTAAAAATGAATATATGATGAAAGTAATTTAAATAATAAATGTTAATTAAATAAAAATAATTAAATAATAAATATTTCGATGAAATAAATTCTGGCCAACAAGGTAAATGTGATTAATTTTCAATTGTCACTTCAATTATTGAATGCACAACCGATTTATTTTATACAAATAAGACATATAATAGATACTTTTGCAAGTATGTAATAACAAAATTTATTGAAATTTTTTGAAATTTGCCTTTAGGATTCTGATCATCGTGAAGTGTTACCACGTTGGGCTCATTTATTAAATGGACCTCCTTGTCCTACCAGCGATTCCGTTGATTTTCTTGAAGCAACATGCTACAACAAAATTGTAGTTATGGTTTTATTCAAACATTTTACGCATAAACGAGGAATTAGGTAAATAAGAGTTAACGAAGCTTAAGATAAAGATTCAATTTGTTACCTTCGCATATTTTTTAGATTTGGAAGTTGTGTCGTTATTCCATTCACAAAGAAATACTTTGAAGACTATGGTCTTCTGACAGTAGGTAGATTGTTTAAGCATGCTCACGCGGTAAATAATTTGTAAGTATAGCTACTTATATTGAGTGGATTATTATCACATGCCCGAAGTTAGTGCAATTTGCATTAAGGCAAATGCCGCTTATACCTAGTTCTATTTTATTGAATACCCTTTAATTTATTGAATTGATTCTATTTTAAAAAACAATATTTATCACATGTTTTTTACAGGTTTTCAAAATTTAGGGACACTGGACTCCTTCAATACCAGTGGTTAAAATGCAGAAAATATATTTTACCACTGGACGCAAATTTTAAAATTACACCACTTGTCAAATTTAGGCATATTGCTGGTTTATTTGCTGTTTATGGAGTCTGCCTGAGCTTTTCCTTAACGTTGTTAATCCTAGAAATTTTGATTGATTATCGGAACAAAATTATACGAGAAACTTGTAATTTTGAATTAGTAAATAGAAGTCAAGGGCCTAATTTCATACCATACAATAATTAGATAAATAAGTATACAAAGTTAGGCAAAGATAAAGAGTATTATGTTTCTGAACTGAATACCTACATTACTATATTCAAATATTGGGCACTAATCATTTGAAAATGTATATATTCATTACAACAGCTCATAGAACACTTAAGCTCTGACCGCTGTTTAATTAATATAAATGTATACATACCAGTGGCGGATCCAGGAGGTGGGTCACGAGGGTCATGACCCCCCCACCTGAGCTTGTCTTAAGACTTAGATAGATCACTAATTCAGCAATAAAATTACTTCAACATGATTTTATTTATGTATTTTGTTACCAAACACATTCTATAAATACAATATGTAACTTATTATAGCCGAACGGCAGAGTCAAAGACTCCTAAAATTTACCAAGTACTCTCCCCAAAGAGATGATGCACAATTAGCACTCTACAAAATCTCAAATGTATTAAAATTAAAAATAGCATAATTTTTTTTTAATACATTTTAACGGCAATCAGAATCTTACGTCCTATAAGCTGTTGGGCTAAAACTTCTCATTTCTTTTAGATGGTAACCCAACGGTTAATCCATCCATATTTGATGATTTTTTATTATTAGATTTAATCTAATAGGGCTGACTTTTTTTTATTGGTGCAGCAATGCCGGGCAAGGGCTATTTTTACTTGGAAATATATTGCTATCCATATTTCCATGTGAAAATCGTTATCACAAAAATAGCATAATGTGACGATTTTTAATGATACTGATACCTTATCAAAAACATTTGATACAGGCTCCAGATGGTATAGCTATGCCACTGTATATTATAAGATAAGACAAGTTACCACGCTTTGAAGCTAATTGAAACTAATAAAGTTAATGCAATGCAATAAATACCATATTAAAAAAAAGTTCGAAAAAATGTTAATATAATTGATTTTTATAACCTATCATATTTGCTAAAAATATATCACTGATACATTTTTTAAAATTTAGAATAGTTTTAATTCTTATTAAAACTGCAAAAAAATGAAAAGACCTCATGTTCAATGATTTATTTTAGAATGTTTCACACTACGGCCCTGGTAGTGCGTGTGTAATAGATTGGTCTTTTATGTTGGTATCATAGACATTATAATACAGGTCTGCGGTTGGTATTATCAAATTTGACAGTGTAATTTTATTCTCCAGTACTATATTTGGCATGTGAGGAACCTGAATGTATTTTTGTCGTGTGCTAAATGTGAGGTTAAGTGCATGAACATTAAAAGTTCACCAATATTAAAATGTGTCGAAGTGTATATTTTTGCAAAATAAAAAAGTTTGTCATGAATCAAATCTTAAATTCGGTTACCTGCGCAGGGTCATTAAATATGACTTCAATGGAATCCAAAAAACAATTGATTTGTTAATGCCGGTGCAAGGTATGTAGTAACTATTGATTATTTATTTAACCCCTTTACTTACAATGACGAGCATAGCCCGCAAATATTACGGGCATAGCCCGAATACGATGATCGGACCAGAAGCAATATTACGCATTACGGGCATGGCCCGTACGGTGATCGGCAGTATTACAAAGTATTTATTTATACGAAACTATAAAACGCAAAATTATTTTTAGTTTTGCAATGAACTGATTACTGTGCGAGAAAATAGATACGAACACTGCGCCAGCTTGTACAATTTTGGCCTGACATTTTTTAATCTGAATCGTAAGTTAAGGGGTTTAACCACTTTGACTTTTTTAACCGGTTTATATATTTAACCATGAAATGTCGCTCACAGCCGGCATGCAACGTCCGTACGCTTCGCGTTCATATATCGGCAGTCCTATAAATGCGACGCCCGGCTGTGTGGGTCATTCTGGGTCGTCGAGTATAGTCGTCGCTCGTACCGATGTGGAGACATACTTTTATGCAATATCTATTTGTTATCAGCCGTTCATTTTTCGCGTAATAATTGTTATGTATGCTGTTGTTATATTTTTATGAGCACGATTTGATTTGAAACAAAACACACATTATGTTTATACATCACTGATATCAAGCGGCAATAACATCAGTTTTTACCTAAAAACATAGATCCGATTGTGTTACCAAATAAAAGTGGCATTGCTTTAACACTTACGAGACGGCACCGATTTCAAAACAATTTACTGGCTGTAAACGTGAGTGTATGTTATGCAATTTATTTGATAAAAATTTGTGGTTATTGAAGGACGTACATTTATAATAATTTATTTTTGATCTTTTTATAAAGAATGGTGACATTCAAAACAATTTTCAAAATGCATAGCTGGTTGATTTTTACATGTTTTACAATAAAATTTTGTTCGCCGCGTTCTCCTGGTAGAGCAGACAATACAATCCCTTTTTCTTTCTGTAGCATTTAGAATATGTAACTGATTAGTCAGTATATTTGTTCATTTTTGTGCTGCCAAAACGGTTTATTTTTTCTATTTTATTGTCTAATAATTCATTTGTAAAATATAAAGTAAAATAATCGATTGGGTGTCTTATATTGCTTGGTTTTTTGTAGTCGGGGTGTTTGTTGATGTATGTCAAACTCGATTATTGAAGGAGAATCGGCACATTCGCTAATGTCTTTCCGCTCTTCATTTAATTTGTCAAACTTCTTTTTGTTGGTTGGATAATATCATCATCACATTACGAAAAGTGATTTCGTAAAATTTGTCTGTATGAATGTTTATTTGAAATTCATCTTCACTACTGCTTAATTCACAAAATTTACCAGTCGTTTTGCCATATTTAAAAGCGCGGTCGTTTTAAATATTAAAAAAACAGACTATATAGCAAAGAAAAATGACTTAAAATTATTTTCAAAATAGAACACTGTTTATCACTGCTATATGTAATTGATTCAACTTTTCGATGCAAACTGAGTATTTGTTTATAAAATAGCCTGTGCCTCACAGAGTTTGTTTGTCCACTGAGGTGGACAGCCGTCCCCAAAGTGTTAATACCGCAATTAGAAAATATGTACATCTGTTTAGTTGCCTTCTAATAGTGCTCAGAAGTAAATATAATATAAATATTATTTAGTATGAATTGCGTTCTAATAGCGTTCGTGAAAATAATAAACATAGAAATAAGCATTTTCAGGACAGCTTATAGAACACTTTGTTCTAAACAACAATGATGATTATCATTTGTGAACATAATGTTACATAACACAAGTTCATGTTACCAAGCCAGGGCCGGTATTATCAAGTTATTGCATAGATGTAATTTGTATGGACAAAAGGACATAGACGTTATGAATTGACGCGACGCAGTAGTCAGTTCAAACAGTCTTGAAGATTTTATTTCATTGATAGTTTTTATTATTTCTGGGGACATGTTATACTTTATTTTTGTAATTATTTGTATTTTTTAGTAATACTAAATCAAACAAAATGTGCCGTGAAACGTGTTCTGTACAGCTAAAACCGATGTTGTGCACAGCTATGACATAATCTGGCATGTGCATAAATACGCATTAAAAATAAATTTAAAACTTACATTAGTAACATTTTAATATCTAGTTATATAGGAGGGATGTCGTATTTTCGGCTCCGCGTAGTATGACACCGCGTTTCCAGAGTATCGTGTTAACGGAGGGTTGACTATAAATAAATATGTATATGTACATGTTTACGTATATATGCGCTGTAATCGCGATTTTTGTAATTATATTTATTACAATATAATGGTATTCGTGCAAATTGAAATTTATGTCACAGTTATGAAATGTACGTAGAGCATCGGTCGGTATCTGGATAATCTTAAACTGAGTGCGTAGAGAAAGATACACCGTTCACCATCTGATAAATTTAATAGCTTGTAATTGATATAATCAGATCGAATACGAATATATTATAAATATTCAGGAGCCATAAAAGCCGCAGCTGGTATTTTATAGAAAGACATGGCATTCAACTACATGCATAATACTGATCAAACATGAAATTAGCTGAACTTAATTTTTAGTTTGTGGAATGCTCAGAAATTTATTTTACATTGAGAAGTCTATGGCTAAAATATAATTTATTATAAAATAACAATAATTTGATTATATTACAAATAATAATTTCACTTACACACAATGACACAAACACCCATATATGTATATATATATATATATATATATATATATATATATACCCCACTAGTTTTCATTTGTTTCTACAATATTACTATATATTCTTATTCTTATAATCACATACATCCTAAAAAATTTCCTTAACAAACTTCAGAAAGATTTATCAAAATCCGAATAATCGTCTAAGAGGAGTATATTTACATACATCATCACGGAAGAATTTTATATATAAGATAGCAAAGTGTGTGCGATTCAATAAAATATGCAATTGATGTGGGAACATCAATCATCCATATACAGTTTTATCTTCGCGCCGCATTTTCAAAACAAATGTAATGCTCCCTCCCAAAAAAATGCTATACAAATTTTAAATCGCATATTTTCTCAGGTTATAAAAAGATTAAAAGAATTAATGCAACTCGATAACATTATATCCATGCAATTTAAGAGCTTGGAGGTACATCGTATTGTTTAATTATACATTGCGAACCGGTTTGTTACAATGTAGTACCTTAATCGTATCAAATTTAGCACCGACGATAATTATCGTAATCCGATGTGAGTTTGCTTGCAAAATGTATTAAAATATATTGCGATGCGTTCATTAATGTTCAGCAGAGGTAGATGCATTGACTTATTGGCCGTTTGCGGAAATGCCCTTATACTGAAGCACAATTTGCGAGCAATCACTATCACATGGTTATCTCAGTGATTTAACAAACAATAGTGGCATTAAACTCATTATATAAGATTCGGTAAAAATTGCTAAGCACCGATTTTAATTCTAAACATGAGTATTGAGCAGACATATCGCATATCAATCGGTAGATTCTTTTCAATTGGATTCGGATAATAATTTCTTTTACCGTCACTTTGAGTTTCGTGATGCAAATTCCCAAAATATTGTCAAGATTCACTTGAAGCAAAATTTTCATATTTTTAAATATAATATTATATTTAATTCTTTAATAATATTACCACATAGGGTAGGGTAGGGCGGAGCACAATAATGCAATTTGTCTCTGAGCAATTATGTTGTGTAAACCAAATCAATAATATCACAACAAATAACATAACAACTTTTCTTTGTTCAGTAAAACACCCAGATAATTCATGATCGTAGAAATGTGTTTTTCAAAAATATGTATCCTATTTATAGGCGGAATAAATAGTATAACCAGGCGGCAAGCAGATTCAATATCTTATTCCTAATTTTGAAAAACGATTAGGAAATTAGCTACAATATTCAACTAATACAGTATATGACTTTCATAGGCATATTTTTTTACAAAGATGACACAGATCAAGGTTATATTTGATATTTTGTCACAATTTTTTATCAGAAAATTTGCGATAACAATTTATTTCTTGTAAAATTGCTTTATTAAGCAATTTTTAATTTTTATTTACTATTTTTATTTTTTATGTCTTTGCCAGAGTTGAGGTTTAGTTGGTCTTTTTCATCCCATCTATATGTTAGTTAATAAAGAGGTTTCATAAGAACATCTGGTAAATCTAACTTGCAATTAACAATGCATTTTATGGAACAATTAAATAACGTACACTTAAAATTATGTTAAGGTCTCGTAAACTAAACAACAGGAGCACTGTTGTTGCATAACCAAAAAGAAAACTAAACAACAAAGGAAAATACTTTTATTATAGATTTTCAAACATGGCCGTTTATCTTCTGACAGCGACGTTACTTGGTTTGATGATAATACGTCATTTTCCCTCTACTTTCAAATTTTGTTGTTGAAAACCCTAACTTAACTTGTTTTTGAGATATTGTTATGACCCTTTTAGCCGCGTACCTTTAAGCCCCGATTTACCCCTCATTTATACTTGCTTTAATAAATAAAGCTATTGTATAAGTTGACTTACAATTAGATCTGCTATTGGAATAAGTTTTTAAGTAAAAATAGCAATTTGTATATTGTTTGCTTATTTCCGAAATTAAACTTACATATTTGTATGATTATTATTATTACTGTTGGCTTTCGTAACTTTGTTGGAATCAGAGCAACTTCGGTTTTTACCCAAAATTGTCAATGCTCCCCCGTTGCGATAATTGTCGATTTTGTCGGATAGCTATAAAATAAAAACTAGTAGTCAGAGGGGTCTAAAAATTCAGTGGCGATTTATTGAAGTCATAACGAATGTTCTCCATAAATATTAGTCGAATCAGAGCATCATGGTTTTTTACCCAAAAAAATTGTCGATACCTCCGAGTTGCGAAAATTTACGATTTTGTCATATTGCTATAAAATAAAAACTAGTAGTCGGAGGGGTGTAAAATTCAGTGGCGATTTATTAAAGT